TTAATATTATATATAAAATTGGTTGATTAATTATATCGTAAAGTATAAAATATATAACAATTTAAATAATTAAACAATTTATTATATTTATTGCATATATACTATGTAATTATATATATAATTATTAAAATAAATTTCATTAATTAATTTAATAATTAATTTTTATATTTTATGTGTAAAACTTATATATTTTTTAATTAGTATATGGGATCGCCTTAAAAATGACTAATTATTAAATATAATTAATAACTTCTTATACAATCCGAAACTGTGACTAAATTTCACTTAGAAAAAAAAAACACCCTAAAAAACATACGTCAAAATGTGACTTATATTTTCGGAAATAATATGGAAATTCGGTTAACAATCGCCTGCTCTGCCCATCCATAAGTTATCTCCAGCTAGTAACTGGGTCAACTGGTTAATTATTTATTACAGTTAAACAGTTAGTGTTATTAGTTGCGGCCGCAGTAAAAAAACGTGTTAGCATTTTCCAAAATAATTGCCACATTGCGGCTGTTAAGAGCTGCTGTGGAAACTTTACGGCCAAACACGTGTAGAACGACTTAAAATGCAGCGTAGTATGTGCGCCCCCTCCCGCCCCCTTGCCAACAGTCAGTCGCACACAAGCCGCAGCCATTAATAGAAGCCGCACCACAAACATACCGCCTCCCCCTCCCTCATCCCGCAAAAACAATAACAATCACAGCTGGCCGCAAAATCAACTCGCAAGGCGAATGCAAATGTGTGCGCGCGTGTGCGTGTGCGTGTGTGTATGTGTGCGTGTGTGTGTGTGTGTGTGTGCGACGCTGTTCAATTAAACTATGAACAAAAGTTGTAAATTATAATAAATACAACAATAGGCACGACAACTAGCGTTAACTGCGCCCCTCTCCCCCACGACCTCGCCCGCCTTGGTAATTGTTACAATTATTTTGTTTACTTTGCCAAAGGGCTGCTAAATAGTTTGTGGGGGTTTGCAAGGGCGGGAGGGGGTGGGGGGTGGGCTGTTTCCTTAGCGTCGACTTTTTTAGCTCTTTGCAAAAGCTTTCGATTTGTATTTTTGTGCAATTTATTCAGATTTTTCTTCCAAATAAAACTCAGTTTGTGAGTTTGTGAGTTTCTATGTGTGAGTGCGAGTCACACGCATTGTCGCGGCTACCTGTGTGCGTGTGTGTGTGTGTGAGAGAGTGCGTGTGCTTGCGACTGCATTGAGCAGCAACAAAACGACTCAGTTGTCGTCTAACTGTTGTTGCTGCTATTTTTGTTCTTGTTGCTCGCAATCGCAAGCTTCTGGGCTGCACTCTTCCTCTTGCTATATTGAGTGTTTGTTTTGCTCTCTCTCGCTCTCTCAGCGTCGACGACGACGACGACGGCGCTCATTCATTGCGGCACAAGCGCCACTGCGTGCCTGGCTGTGTGCGTGTGTGTGTGTGTATGTGCATGTATAATCAAAAGCACAAAACGCGCACACAAGCACACACAGCCGTGCACACACATGCACACATGTGCAGAACGGAGGCCGGCGCACGTGGACGCTAAACGTGATAACACAACAACAAAAAACAACTGACAGCAAAACAAATAGAAAACCTGACGACGACGCGTCGTTTGTCGTTGTCGTCGTCGTCGTTTGTCGTCTGCCGTCGTCGCAGCTGTTTGTCGCTTCGCTTGCGCCGCTGCTAACGCCGCCAACGCTGCCAACGCTGGCAGCGACAGCGACGCAACTGTTGGCAACTGTTGCCCAGCGCCTGTTGCTCTGATTGGTGCAGGCCGCCGACAAGCCAGCTGCGCCAATGGCAGCGCACGCTGTGCGAATCCTTTACGCTCGGCTGCCCACAATTGGCGGCCCCGTACAGGAGCCTGCACAGCTTCGGCTGCATTCGAACTGCAACGAAGTTGTGCAACAACAACAATGCACCCGACAACAACTCCGGCTTGTTGCCGTGCTGCTCGCTGGCATTTTAAATAGACGGATCACGGGTTGTATGCTTGATTTGGTTCGCTGATGTGATTTGCTTGCAACGGTGGCGAGCGTGAGGGTGAGTGAGAGGGTGAGTGAGAGGGTGAAGTGGTGCGGGGTTGGCATGTGAACAAGCTAAGCTGCTGAGCGGTACGCCAACGGCGGGGGGGGGGGGGGGGGGGGGCGGTGGGGCGTGTCGGGGCAACGGGTTCACATGTATTTAAAAATAGTTAATCTATTTACGGCAAGCGCTTTGTAAACATGTGGGCATATTTTTAAATATTAAAAATAAGGGCGAGCTTTTAAATAAAAGCGATTGAATTTATTTCTTTAATAGGCATTTTTTTTAAATTATTTTTAATGGCTAATTGATAAATGGAAGTGCGTAGCATCTTCTTTTTCGTATGGCAATTATCAGCTTATCAATTTTTTTCGATAATATTGATAAGAACCGATTTCCATTTTATAACTTTGTGTTTGTGTATCGTATACAAATCGAAAAGGTCTCTGTTTTTGAATAAATCCCACTGTTGCCCACAAAACCTTGCGCCTTGTGTAGCTGGAAGCCCGAATGATTGGGCGAAATTAAGGGCATTTGATAGTCGGTTATTTTGTGATATACCTACTTACTTACCATTTATACAATGATATTAAATTGTACTTATTCAAATATAAATAGTTCTTATTTTCCAATTTTTAGTAAATCTTTCCTTCTTGATTCTCTAATTTTATTTTGAATTCCTTTAGGAGTTTCCCATTCAATTTCGTTGTTCCATATTTAATAAACATACATGTCTACGTATATATATTCTTTATTTTGCTTCGCCAATGACAATTACATTGTTTCTTCTTTATTTCTAATGTTCCGTTTCCACTGTTCCATATACGCAGCTCTCTTTTCATTGTTTCATTTGCCAATGTTTCACTGTTCCATTCCATTCGCTCTTCTCTGATTTTATATTTACCGCGCTTAGCTATTGCCGTTTTAATTCCATTGTTCCATATTTAATGCATGTACATGAATATAAATTTGTATATTTACCTGCCCCCATTACACTTGCCTTACTCCTCCTACATTTTTACTGTTTCGTTTCCATCGTTCCCTCTTGATTGATTGATTTGCCAATGTTTCTAGTGCTGTTCCATTCTTTTCATTCCTGATTGATTCCCTGATTTTATTTTGACCATTCTTAGCTCTCTTAATTTCATTGTTCCATTTTTAATATATGTAAATACATGAATATATATTTCCCTTCCCCCATTGCACTTGCCTTAATTCTCCTAATTTTTTACTGTTTCGTTTCCGAGGTTCCGTTTCATTTGTTTCATTTCATTGTTCCGTTTCACTATTCCGTTTTATTGTTTCGCGTCCATTGTTGCGTTCCCGCTGTTCCGCTTCCACTGTTCCGCTTCCACTGTTCCGCTTCCACTGTTCCGTTTCCATATTTCCATTGCCATATTTATTTTTTCTTTGCCTTAAAATATACGGAAAAACTGAAAATAAAATATTAGAAAAATCGAAAATACGACTAGTTCATTTTGTGGCTGTTCAGCTTTTAATTGCTTAACACTAAAATAATGTTTTGCACACATTATTATTGTTTTCGAACCCTTACACACACTTTCTCAACGCTTGAGAAGTGCAAAAAATCGCTCAGTTTGAGTGCCCAACAAATCGCTTAAGGCGCAGATTAAAAAACTCAATGAACTCCCGCAAAAATGTTTATCGATAAATTGGCAAATTAAATGGAAATTTAATTACTTAAAAAGCGCATTTGAGAAATCCCAATGGGCTAATTACTTACTACAGATATTCAATTCTAATTATAAAGATGAAAATGAAGCGCATGATTCAACACGTAGCACGCCGTGGGGTTAAGGTTCGGGGCACTAAGCTCATAAAGGTTGTCCGGACAACGAAAGCCGAAATTTCCATTAAATTGCGCATACGTCACGTGTTGCAAGCCAATTAATATTGCGTGCGGCTGCAACGCGCCTGTCATCGATACTTTAATCACATTTTGCCACAAAATAAAATGCCAATTAGAACAGGAAACGGAAGATGGCCCCGGGTGCATTTGTTTTCCACTTTTTTTTGGTTTGCCTTCTCTTTTCTTTCGCTCACTGTAAGCAGCGCCGAGCGTCGCACACTGAGCGAAAACAGCGCACAATTTTGTGGCTCAGAGCAGTTGAGTATCTGTGTATTTATATCTCTATCAGTAGCTATAGCTGTATCTGTATCTGTATCTGTAGCTGTGGCTGTGGCTGTATCTGTGGCTAAGTATGCCAAATGCAATCCGTCCGTTCAACGTGCTCGCCACTCTGCACGTGTGTGTGTGTGTGTGACTGTGTGCGCGTGTGTGCTTAACTGTCTCTCAGTTTCAGCTGCCGCTTGTCTGTGTGTGTGTGTGTGTGTGTGTATCTGTCCCTGTGTGTTCACAACACGTGCTTAGAACGTTGCTAGACACTGGGCTTTGGGTCATACTGAAATCCGCGTGACTTTGTCGCCGCTGTCGCTGCCGCTGCCGCAGTCGCTGTCGACGCCGCAGTCGCTGCTGTCGCTCGTTGAATTTTCATTAGCTACAACTGCGTCGCCGCCTTGCAGTACTTGTATTTATTTTTATATTTATTGCTATTATTATTTTTATTTATGCATTTGCAAATATTTTTTTGCGCCATTCTGCGCACTAACTTGAAGTTTCTCACCTTTTGAGAGATATCTACTCGTGCTAGTTTACAGTTAGGCCTTTATAATTATACTATATAAATATATATAGGCCCCTTTTTTGGTTGAGTTTCATGTAAATTTGTTTTTTTTTTTAACTTACATTGCAATTTGCGCTGTCAGCGCAGCTCGCCGCCCCCAACCCCGCGACTGTAACCCTTGCAGGTGTGCAGGTGTGTGTGTGCGTGTTTGTGTGGAGCTGCGTTGACGCTGGCAGCGACAGCGACAGCGGCAGCAATGACTGCGCTGCCCGCTAGGGCTGCGGCTGAGGCTCGGCTATGGCCGGCATTCGGTCGCATCGCGTTCTCCAGTTCAAATCGTCAACGTTGCCGGTCGCTCAGCTTTTCCAGCTGGTTGTCAACTGCGCGTGCGATTCTAACGTGAACAACTGTGCTAAAAATCCAAATAAAAAACCAAATCAATTATTTACAAAAATATCCAAACAATCCCAGTGCAACAGATAAATTTAACTTTATATATGTGCATATACTATATAATACATATATATTTATATATATATATAATAATTGCGCACTAAGCCAAAGAAAGCCTTTCAGTGCAAAGTTCTAAAAAGCAACTGCGCACACTAAAGAAAAACAACAACAACAAAAAAAAAATCTATAAGCGATATTTACATACATCGTATACTATATGCATAAGAAAAATAATCGTTCAAGTGTTTCAAATAAGTAGCGACAATTGTGCCAAGTGTCGCGTGTGTGTGTGTGTGTGTGTGTGTCTGTTTGTCTTTGTGTGCGTGATTAAATAGTTAACACATGAACAGATAACTGGCATTACACACATAAATATATATAAATATTACTGTATATTAATCTAATGTATATGTATCAGATATATGATCTATAACAAATGCAAACGGCATCGCCAAAGTTACGGATATAATTTCACAACGTTTAATTTTAATTATAATTATTTCTACAACAACAAAACTACAATATTCACAAAGCGTTTGCGAATTAGAAAAGGTATTAAGCAAGGAAGAAGAAAATAATAATAATAAATATTTCAATTGATTTGGCATATGATAATTTATTTGTATGCTACAAAGAATAATTATTCAAAACTAAATTAAAATAAATTATTTGAAAAAAAAAAATGTCTCGTTTTTAAAGCACACTTTTTGTTGCATGTCAATTTTGGCATAGATAAAATATAAAAAAAAAACTGCAAATATTGTATTGTAAAAATTAATTGAATTAAAGCAGCAAGAAATTAAGAAATTTTTTATTTTATATGCATATATATCTAATATATATATGTATATATATATAAACAATGCCTTTTCTTATTCCTTATCGCCGCAACCGCCAATGCAAATAGAAAAAAAACCCACACAACTCATCGGCATGTAGAAAAAATCATTAATAATAAAATTAAACAATACCATTCATCTATAACACATATCGCACAAAAAAACAAACGCCCAACGTCATTTGATGTACTCACACTTAAAATCAAACAAACAAACAAAAAAGTCTCAGTAAGCACTCATCATTATCATGTTCATAATCATAATCGGTATTAATTTTGTTATCAAGATTTGCAAAGATTGCCATTAAATAATAAATCTCGGACAACACTAATCCATACTTTATTTGCAACGTTAGGCAACACTAGCTTCAAAAGGTCTCCTGAAAAAAAAAACAGTGTGAACAGTTGCCCAAAGTTTCTATTGCACTGCAGCAAATACAATCACGCCAATCACAAGGACGTGGCCACTTAGAGTGTCAAAAACAACAATAACAACAACAACACTAACTGAAAAACCAACTGAAAAGGAAGCAGTAATTGAACCAGTGTTAAAAGCCAGTGCATAATGGCGACCGATTCAAACGCGTGCGCCGGTTTCTTTGTACAGGAGCAAGCGAATGCGACGCTCTCGCAATATTTTCAGCAGCTCAACTCGCATGTGGCAGCGGCTGTTGCCAGCAGCAACAATAAGAGCTCCAGCGGCAGCAGCAACAGCAGCAGCAGCAGCAACAACAACAACAACAACAGCAACAACTTCACTAACAACGGCAACAACATCAGCAGCGGCAACAGCGACAGCGGCAACGATGGCAGCATGACAGGCTCAACAGCAACATTGGACAACCATCGCAGCAGCGTCAGCAGCAATGATTCCGGCAAGAGCAGCAGCACCGGCGGGGGCGATGGCGCCGGGGGTGGCGGAGGCGGTGGCTCCTCGTCGGCAGCAGCAGCAAATGCTTGGAACTTGCAGCAACAGCAGCAGCAGCAACAACAGCAGCTGCAACAGCAGCATCATGCACAGCAGCAACAGCAGCTGCAGCAGCATCATGCACAGCAGCAACAGCATCATGCACAGCAGCAACATGTTGCTGCCCTGGCCGTGGCACAGCAACAACTGCAGCAACAGCAACAGCAGCAGCAGCAGCAGCAACTCTCAGTTCACGCCCAGCAGCATCAGCATGCACATCAGCAGCAACAGCAACAGCAACAGCAGCATCCGCATCAGCATCATCCACATGCACACAATCCGCTTCTACATCCACATCATCCGCATCAGCAACAACAACAACAGCAGCAGCAGCAACACCAACACCTGCATCAGCAGCAGCAGCAACATCATGCCGCTCAGCTGGCCCACACGCTCTCCTCGGCAGCAGCTGTGGCCGCGGCTGCCTCCAACACCAACACCCACTCGATCTTTGGCACCGGCAACTTCCACTACAAGACGAACAACTCATGGACGCTGCCAACGCTCAACTATCAGCGCATCTATCAGGAAAACACGCACTATCATCAGCGCAACAGTTTCATGGACAGCCAGGGCCCGGTTGTCGGTGCTGTCAATGAGGCCGCTGCAGCAGCAGCAACTGCTGTTGCCGCGGCTGCTGCTGCCGCCAGTGCCGCCGCAGCAGCAGCGAGTGTCAACGGCAACAACAATGCGGCAGCAAATGGCAATAACAATGCTTGCGCAAATCCCAGTGACAACAACAGCAACAGTAACAACAACAACAACAACAACAACAGCAACAACAACAGCAGCAGCAACAACAACAGCAACAACAACAGCAACAACAACAACAGCAACAATAACAACAACAGCAGCAACGTCTCCACAGTGCAACATGTGGCAACTGCAGTAGCCGCAGCAGTCATCGCCAACGAGCATCAGAATAATTTGAACAGCTTAAAGGCGCGCTTTCAGCCAACCAGCTCAGGTGGGTCATCAAACAACAATTAGACAGTCAAGAAACTAAATAAATAATGCAAGCAATGCAAATTCTTGTTTTTAATATAAAACAAAATATTTGCTCAGCTGCATATTACAACTTATCGGCATGTAAAAGCTGCAAGTTTTCCATTCTGAGTTCATAAAACATCTTCTTAACATAAATATTGAAGATATGTGCGTATCCTGCTGTTAAGCTTCGCTCTTAACATATTCTTTTAACTCTTCTGAACATAAATGTTAAAGCTACTTACGTATTCTGCTATTAAGTCTGCCTCTTCACAGACTCTGTTAAATACGAGTACATGTAACAGGTTTTTGATATTTTCATAACAGAAATGTTGAGCCTATGTACGGTTAAGCTTGGCTCTTGACAGACTATGTTAAATTCCCTAAATGGTTTTAATGTGTCTTAACATAAATGTTGAGGCTTTATAAGTTTTCAGTTGTTAAGCTATGCTCTTAACAGAAAATTAACTAATGGGTAGGGTTTAATTTATTATAGGTTTCCAAAATTGTACTAAACCCAATTTTATGAACATTCGCCCGTTGTGCTGAAAATATTGCAAGATGTAAATATTTTTATAAACAAGATGCGGGCTATATTTGTGATATGTTAACTTAGCTAACAGCTGTTTAACATAAACTGTTATTTTACACATGCAACTGTTGTTAACATCTGTTATTTTACACATGCAATTGTTGCTTATAGCATGTTACAGCTAGTTAGCTGAACTCTTTAAAGATTTATCTCTCTCAAATGCCGCCATATTTTTAATTATATTTAGGGCATACTCGACGTTGTAGTCTTTGGCATTTAGTCATAATTTATGACAAATATTTATGCTAAATTTTTAATTTTTTGCATTATCATAAATTAAACTTTATAAATTGTGAACTGTGCATTTGCATAGCCACGTCTAATTATTCACAGTGCGCCGCTTAATCGCCCCGATCGGCTTTCCTAGCATTCTCGCTCTCTCTCTCTCTCTCTCTCTCTCTCTCTCACTGACTTGGAATTGTCTCGCAAGCTCTCTCGCTCTCTCGCTCTGCTGATATCATCGTTAAGCGGGGATCTTTGAGTAAATGTCAAATAAAAAAAGCTCGAGGTGCACACGTGAGCATCTATATGCAAATGTTTTTCTTTCTGTGTGTGTAAGTGTTTCTGTTTGTCAGTGGTTGTGCATAGGTGTGTGTGTGTGTGTGTGTGTGTGTATTCTGCTTGCAGCAAGTTCGTCGCCTGCGCCATTCAGCCTATCGCAATAAAAACTTAATTAATATGCGCACAAAACTTTTGCTTAGTTTGCATTTTACAGCTCGTTCACTTTAAAGCATTTTGCATTTTGCATTTTATTTTATTTTTATTTTATTTTGATATTTGACTTATCTTTTGATAAGTTATGACCTACGTCAAGTACTTTTACATGCCCTGTAAATTGTTACGAATGGGGTATACAGAGACAAAAGTACATTTGCATCTGCCAAACTGGGAAGTATTTATAAAGTTGACTTCTTTGACTTCTATTATAGACATCAATCAATGTGATCGATGATATATATCAAAGATTTTAGAGTCGCGCATGGATGTGATATTAAACCAAAAGTTATTTAAGATGGAATACAGGGTGTCTTCTAGTCCGTCAGGTGCACAACTAGTGCACTTTTCTTTGTTATAATTGTCAGGAACACACCTTTCTCTCTCTCCCTCCCTCTCTCCTTCTTTCCTTCTTTCCCTCTCCCTCTCTCAGCTGTGCCCACACGCTTGGCTTGCAAATTGCCATTTCACACTTGAATTTTGTGCTGTTAAATTATTTGACAAGTTGTGAAATTTACAATTTGCATAATTTAAGTGAAAATTAACACATATTCGCCATGCCTATTTATCGGCCCAGTTAGTTAGCTGCTGCGGCACAGCCTTTTGAGGTTAGCTACGCCAAATGGGTCAAATAACGGCGCATCAGCTGATTAGCCTTAAAGGAAAAACTAACCCAACAGAAACCCAATTGACAAATGGCATCAAATGTTGCCACCATTCAGCACACATCGCTGCTTTGACCAGTGCACGCCCCCATTTTCCGGGCAGGTCAGCCTTTGTGCATTCGCCCTTTTTCCGCCCCGAAATGCATTCACTTTGATTAGGTCCCACAAAAAGAAAAACGTACCCACACAGCAGCTCCATATGAAAATGAAAAGTTGATGAGATGACTAAATTAGCCAAAATTATGCTTATGAAATGCATATTGAATATTTAGCTGCAGCAATGGGGCAACAGCAAATGATACCCTGGAAAAATGTGAGGTTGGAATTTTCAGTTCATATGCGAGATAAAGCTGAGCTTCTCCAACTGTCGATAGTCTATAAATGATCATTTTCTTATGTGATTTATATACTTAAGCGAAAAAAGGTTAAATCAAAAAAGCTGTTTGTAAGAATTCTCTCGGGGAATACATTTTTTCTGCATATAATATATGCATTATTTATATATATATAAGGCTGACTTAAGATCTCGTCATATTCTTTCGGGAAAGAACAGTTTCTTCTATTTCTCTATGCATTCTTTATTTATATAAAAAGCTGACTTGAGAACTGATCGTATGATATTTCTCGGGAAAGAACTTCTCGAGCTCTTTTAGTTAAAAATCATATTAAGATTTGACTTTGGAGCACATCTATAAGAATACTTTCGAGAAAGAACTGTTTCTTATATTTCTATAAATCAATCTTTATATATATAAAGCTGACTCAAGATCTGCTCATAGGAATTCGTTTGGGAAAGAACAGTTTGTCTATAAATTCATATATTTCTATAAATGTAAATAATGTTATATATGAACTTGACTTAGGATGTGGTCACAGGAATTTGGTCGGGAATGAAATGTTTTTTATACTTATATAATTTCTATGGTTTTTTTATATTTTTATACATCTTTATATCCAGTTAAGTTACGATCTGTTCATAAAAATTCTTTCGGCATAGAACTGTTTGTTCTTAAAACATATATACATATATATAAATAAACTGTCTTTGATTTGTTTTATATTTCTAATTGACTTAAGACATGTTTTTATGAACACCTTCGAGAAAGAGAAACCTTGAAGCTAGTACTTCACATAAAATTGACTCGCGGTCTGTTCAGTAAAAGGTTTACGGGCATAATATTTGTGGATGAAGTTGACTTAACTAAAATCTTCTAAAGGACAACAAAATTGAGCTTCGGAAAGAAACAGACTAACATGTTAAAATATATCTATGTAACTATATGCGACTTAAGTTTAGATCATGTGAATTCCTTTGGTCTATAAATATAAAGCATGTTTTAAGAACTCGTCTGTTAAATCTAGCGAAAAGTGAACTGTTTAGAAAACTTTGAAGCTCAAACATGCATAGATAGATCCGCAGATGTTAACTGAAATGAACTTAGCTCATCCGATGACATCCGATGATACAAACATATATGGGCCGGCACACCTTTAGCTTTCATCCCAATAGCGCGCATCTCTCTCTGTCTCTCTCTGTTGCTCAACCCCTCTCCCACTCCCTCTCCCGCGCCCACACTCCCGAAAAGGCATTAAACATATATGTGAGTGGGCAGTTGCCATAAACTTTGTTCAAATTTTCACATTCGAGCGGCCCACACTCATCAGCGGCAAACTGCATCCGCGACTTGCACCCTTGGCCAACCCTCTGGACGGCATTTCAGTGTCACAATTTGCATATGTGTGTTTCCCCAGCTTCCCCTCCTTCCCCTCGATCCAATGCATTTTTTATTTTTCGTTTTCTCGCACCCAAACACGAAAGCAAGAAGAAGAGAAGCTTAGCACAATCGCATTGCAATACGATGCGATCTGCTACGATACAATCTGATACGATACGATACGATACGATACGATATGATACGATACGGTCTTGGTTTCGGTTTCAGCTTAAAGTTGTTGTTTTTGCTCGAGTGAAATTTGTTCAAGTTTATTGCGAACAATCGACTTTATTTTATTCGCTGCGTCGCTTAAATTTAATTTATATTTTGTTGTTGGCTGTCGTCTCTGCTGTTTTAATACTCTGCTTGCACAGGCAAATGGGGTATATTGGTTGTCTGTCTGTTTCTGCGAAAGACGCCTAACTTGCAAAGTATAAAAAAACTAGTGTATGTTTGAGTTAGGTAGATTGTTCAGATACTATAAATACCATATAAAATCGCAAGTACAGTTGCAGAGTCACTGTTGAAAAGAGCCACAGTTGCAGAGTCACTGGTTTCGAGTAACTAAATCTTCTAGTCTCTTTTTTGAGCAACAGTTTTAGATTCACTTTCAACGTTTTAGAGGCATTGCCTAAGGACAAAATATCAGAAAAGATTAATTACTTGTAAAGTCTCTTGATACAGTTTTAAACCTCTTCTTAAGTGTACAGTTTTAGAGTCACTAATGAAATACTTTTGATGTCAGTTCTAGGGCCTCTAAACCACAAATGAAATAAGCATAAAGCAGCAGTTTTAGATTCAATTCGAAAGTCACAGTTTTAGAGGCATAGCCAAAGAATCAAATAGAAAAAAAGCTCATCCCCATTTGAAGTCGCCTAAAGTGGGAAAGCTTTAGAGTAACTGCTTCAAAGTACAGTTTGAAAGTCACTAATGAAATAAGCACAAAGGAGAACAACCAAAATACAGGGTACAGGGTATTGCCCAGTCGTGTAAACTGAACTTGCTTGCAGTGAAAATTGCAAAAAATTGTCTTTTTAAGGCATTCAGTTGATCTGCTAACTGCTACTGTTGTAGTTGTTGTTGTTGTAGTTGTTGTTGTTGTTGTTGTAGTTGTTGTTGTTGCTACTGTGTGGGCTGTTAGGGAGAAAACAGTGCAGCTGAGGCGAATGGCAATGCGCCATGGGGTGGCCCACTGTCAATGCCAATGGCACAAAAATGGGGAAATGGGTTTTGGCTGTGGAAATGGCAATGGGAGCGGCTGCTTTTCAGTCGCCGTGGGTGGGCATTGTGGGTG